AATTTTTATGATAATCCATGTGAAAGTTATGCCCTGGTCACTTTACAGTTGACTTTTTCAGTTGTCCAAATAAGGAAACTTTTGCATCTTGATGATTTTTGAGCCAAGCTTTGAGAATCATGATCAAGCATTGATCAAATGATGTTTGTGGCTTCAAAATGAGATGTTGACCAAAAATTTGGACTTTTGACTGTCAAATAACCATTTTGCCCCTACAGTTGACTGTAGTGCAATTAGGGTTTTGACTGTGCAATTTTGTGCTGAAAGTCTTGAAACTTGGTATGATGATGCTTGACCATGTTTATAGGCATGTGGGACTTGATTGGACCCTTGGAAACTTCATTTTCTTTGTCAAGACCAAAACCCTAATTTTGACTGTTTAGGAGGCCCTTGAACTGTGCAACCCTTGGGGAGATTTTGAAGCTTGTCTTGGCAATTTCTTGAAGAATATGGGAGGGCAGATTTTGGGGTACAACATACTCGAAAAGGGAATCATTCTATGCTATCTTCCTTTAGACAATGCTATCCCACTATGAATGAGTGGGTAGCACAATCGTTGGAGTTTTAAGGGTCAATTCGAATTAGGGACTTACGGTCACCAAAGCAATGTTAGGATGCCTTAGCGGTAACCCTAATGTCTTAGATAATTTGTTTTGAGGCAACAATATCCGAGGCAACCGTTTCGAGGCGACTATGATCTTTGGACAAGAGGGCGACCTCTAAAGTGACCTATACTTAATGACCGCGTACGAAGGCAACCAAGTGGGGTGTACCCTAAGAGTGCGCATGTGCGAGTGTGTCGTTTTCAGTTAATTTTTGTCTTTGTACATCTTAATGGTGATCTAAGTTGATTTTAGGTTAAACATTCATTCTTTTCATGCATTCCTATTATCAAACATCTAACAGTTATGTTTTGTGGAAAATAAATTGCGAAAATTAAATTACAAGGCGTCGGGTATTTACATCACCAAAAGCAACCCTTTGAAATTTAAATGCGGAAAATAAATAAAGCAATAAAATAATTAAATGGTCCTAATTATCTATTACATTCCGGGAACAAATACAATATTGGATAAAAGAAAGTAAATCGCGTGCGGAAATTAAATCGAGTGCGAGTTCTAGGGTTTTGACGCTTTGTTATTTAAAGAAAAGATTTTTTTTGTTATTTTTGAATTAAGAAATAAACTATCCTAAATTAATTATTAAATTAAATTAATTAAACTAATTAATAAAAATAAATATTTTTTTTGGGTTTTTGTTATTTAAAGAAAGAAAATAAAATAATTAAGTTAGTAATTAAAACCTAATTATGTCTAGTTAATTTTAATTATCTACAAAAATGTTAAAGTTATTCTAAGTAAGAACCTTAATTAATTTAATTGGTATTTGTTAATAAAAATTAAAATTTGATTTTATGAAGAAAATATTTTTGTGATTTTTATTTTATAAAAAAAAAGAATATTTTAATTGGTTAGTAAATTAAGTAAAAATAATTAAAGCAATTAATAAAACTAAATAAATAAAATAAGAGAGTGAGGAGATTGGGCCTGATTCCATGGTGTGAATAGCAATGCTAAGGCCCAAATGTAGGTGGCCCTGTTGACTTTTGAGATTCAGTGTGTGTGCGTTGACTTTGCCTATGGTGGTCCTTCAGATCTTGGCCACCAGATTTGGCCCTGGGCCATCTGGCAATTGATTGAATGATGGTGCATGGTAAGCTGCAAATCTGGATATGCACACAATTGCCTGAAAAAGAAAAATAACAAGGGAAGTGGGGACCTGGGATTCGAACCCAGGTCCTGAAAGTGATATGCTTGTCTGCCTTGCCACTAGGACGCTTTGCTTCAATTGTTAGCAATATACAAAAATAATATAATAAAAGAAAACAAATTATATGCCAGAAAGACAAAAAAATTGCGCGCGCTATTTGAACGGACAAATGGGGAAGCGACACACCATCGTCTTCTTTGTTAAACTGTGGCTAAAACAACTCAGGCATATACCAACAGACAAAATTCCGTAGCTATAAGTCAAGCATCTCTAAAATCCTATAGGCGCCATGAAAATGCATTCTGAACCCATGGTTGTGTTCGTCTTGGCCAGCTAGTCACAGCCATAGCCATTATTATGGCCAATTGTACATGAAAATAAAAGCCCCAAAAACAAGGACGAAAACCTAGCAATGGAAGATCTCCATATTGGTCATATAAATGAAATTGGTTAATGTCAGACGCTGGCAAATGGCATGGTGATTACAAATATGCAATTATTTCATCGTAACAATGCATAATTTTTGAGATATGAAACCAAGTACAGAAGGGAATCGTGTGACACTTACAGCGCTTTGTGGTGTGTGAGAACACTTGCTTTTGATTGGTTTAGCTCCAATGAACGTCCAGGAAGCGATTGGGATGCTGGCTAAGTCCTGAAAATGTCTCTAGCTATGAATTCGAATTCAAGCTTTTTGTCACTTTTTTTCAAGTTTTGTTTTGAGTGTTCTTGCAGCCTCTAGCCTAATTTTCGTGTGCCTTGACTTGTATATGTATCATGGAATGTATTAGGTCAAGAATTATGCTTTGAATCTTTGCACATCAATGCCATGGGATTTGATTTGATCCACCATTGAAAGCTTGCCTAATTTGTCAAAAATCCATCTTTTTGTACATGATATGGTGAGATACGAATTTGATGCTGATCATGATGATGATTAAGTCCTAAAATAGCCAAAAAGATATCAAGCAATCAATATTTGGATTTTATTTGATTTAATTTGATTAAAAATGAAATAATTCAATAAAAAATAAAATAAAATAATAAAATAGATAAATGGACACAAGGCTGAAGCTAGGACACGTGTGCAACATGGAAAGTCCAAATCAAGTGGAAAAGAATGGGCCCATTTGACAAAATTTGATGTTTTGGGGATAGTTGACTTTTGGCAATTTTGCAAAAATGTCCAACTTCAACAATGCATAACTTCTTCAATTTTAAACTTTTGGAGGTGTTCTTAGACTTTTGAGAAAGCTTGAGATATCCTCTAACGAACCCTTTTTGTCTCATCTCATTTTGATATTCCATGCTCAAGTTATAAGCTTTGGCAAAAAAGGTGTTTTTGTTGACTTTCAAAAATGACCTATAATGTCCAAATTTGTAACTTCTTGTGAGTGCATTTTTGATCTTGGGGTATGAAGATGGATTGTAGGAAATTGCTTCCTCTTCAAAAGGAGCTTTGGATGGGTCATTCTTCATAAAGTATGAGAAAGTTATGCTTGGTCAAAGTTGAGTTGACTTTTCCTGCAAAACCCTAATTTAGCAACTTTTGAGTCTTGATGAATTTTGAGCAATCCTTGATGAATCATGATCAAACATTAATCAAATGATGAAATATACTTCAAAATGAGAATGTTGACAAAAAATCTTGAGGTTTGACTGTATTTGGGTAACGATTGACTTTTGCCCTAGCACAATCGATTTCTGGACCCTTTGAGCAATTGACTAAGCAAACTTCCTCTGCAAGGCTTGAAATTTGACATGGATGACCTTGAGAACATATTAGGACATTGGGGAGCACTTGAAGTCATTTGGACTCAAGGATCTTGATGCAACACAAAACCCTAGTTTGGGGTTGACTGCCTTAGGAGATGATTTGTCTGACCCACTCTTGAGCAAACTTGAGCAACTTAGAGATTTTTCTTGCAATGTTTTGAGAAATATGAGAGGGTAAATTTTGGGGTACAACACTAAGGAATTTCCAAAACAAACATTTTGTATATATTCTCAACGATACGAGAATCATTGCAAAATTACCATTTTCAAAAACATCTTCAAAACATTTTCAAACTTACACAAACATAAAGCATTTCAAAGTGAGCTAGCAATTAAGAGCCCATAGATAACTACAGATGAAAAGGGTGCTAACACTTTCCTTTTTCATAACCTACCCCCCGAACTCAAGAAAACTATCAAAATGTCTTTCCTGTTCTTTTCACCCTTTCCTTTATTCGATAAAAGAAAAGTTGGTGGCGACTCTTGGTATCTGCAACATTTGTGATAAAACGCAAAACACCCAAGTCAGTTCTCCCACTGTATTACATGAATTAATATAAAAGATCATCATAACAATAAAAAAACCCTAAAATCAACCCTAATTTTCAATCAAACTTCACTAAAGTTCAAATTGCACATAAATTATAAAACCACGAATCGATTTCTGATGACGAAGATGCTCCATCGAAGTGCAAGAATCCACTTCAAAACTTGGTCGTGTCTCATACTTCCAAATATCCATGAGAAGAAAGAGGCAAAAGGGAACCACTAAGAGAAACGAGGAGCGTCTAACACCATTTTTTGAGATATTGAATTTGCTTGTTTTTCTTTGTTTGGGATTCGGAGGATGAGAGTTGAATGTATGGAATTTGGGCACACTTCTGCCATTGTGTATAATTTCTTGCATTTTTTTATCCAAATGATTTTAAGATTACTGTTGGAAGTGAGAATGATGATGATAACAGGTGATGATGAGGATGACTATTGACATTTACTTTATTTATTATTTGCTGTGTAATTTTATCAAAAAAACATTGTAGCTCAGTTGGCAAGAGGTGTATCTTACATCTTCAAGATACAAGGTTTGGTTCCTGGTTGTTGTAGTGTTTTAGTTTGTTTTTTCTTAATTTATACATGTAATCAATAATACAGTCAGCAAGTCCAGGATGCCAACTAGGAAGATTTCTTACGCTCAGTCAGCCAAACATGAAATATGGGATTCTGTAAACGAAATCTTCATTTTATAAGGGGAGGATCACAAAAAAAACACCTCAAGGGGAGAAATAAAAACTCGCCCTATTGGTAAGGGGCATCGTATATTTAACCCAATAATTATTTAAATTAAATAATCTCATTTAATAAAATTAATCAATAAAAAATTCATATTGTTAAATAAAAAATTTAACATAAATGATTATTTAACTACATCTATTATTTTGCATTCTATACTTTAACTAAAGCAATAAATGAAACAAAATATAAACCAAATAAATAAAGGAAAAATGTAAAGGAAAAGAAGACTGGGCCTGGAAGCAGTAATCTTCTGGCGGGTGTGAATTGCATTGAAAGTCCAGGCCCAAGGGAGGATCTGCCTGATCCTGTGGGTGCAGCTCCAAGGGGTTCACTGTGTGGAGGCGTTGTTGGGGCATCAAATCTCAATTACATGGTTACAGACGGAGGATCATGATAAGCCTTGGTAAGATACTAGCACATGATCCAAAAATTAAGCAAAACGGACAGTGTCAAGTGTCACCGCCGTATTAGTCATAATAGAATAATTATTAAAACAAAACAAAGTTAATTAACCAAAGACATGCCTAATCCAACAAAATCTCTCTCTCTCTCTCTCTCTCTCTCTCAAACATCCCGATTCACTCTTTCTCTCTAAACTACTCAAACCCTAAACACTTAAACAAAAACAAAATCCGGGAGGCACAATCTGGCACAGTGGAGGCTTGAGTATGACGATGGTGACGATGAAGATTCACGGTGATGCTCAAGAACATCATGGCGGCGCCTCCGCACAGAGGTCAAATTGTTATTTTTTTTGCTTTTCTGAATCGTTTTCTCGTTCTCTGTCCTAATCTATAATCGATTTTTGCAGAAAACTTGAGGTGGAGGCGAGATCTAAAGAGGGTTTTTCGAAACCCTAATACAAAATTTCCGGAAAAAAAAGCAAAAAGGAAATGAAGATTGTAAGCTTCTATGGTGTCTCATTGCTCCTTCGAAAGGTGAAGAACGACGAAGGTGGTGGTGCAAAGCGGTGATGGTCTTCAGTTTTTGGCGGTTCCTTTGAGTTCTCTAGTGATGGTCTCTTTCAGAGGTTAGTTTTCTTGTCTATTGTCCTTTAGATCTAGGGTTTCCAAAATTTTCCGAGTCTGAGTTGCGTGAACAATATTCCCCCTACTCTTATTTCTTCAATGCTTTTATACTGAGGTAAATTAGGGTTTGTTGTGATGAATCATTTTTTGAATTTGGGCTTAACAAAGTGTGATAAGAAACTCTCTTTTTTGTCCAATCAATGAAATCCCTCTTTGCTTAAGCCCAACAATTCTTTTTTGTTTCTCTCTTTTTGTTGTTTGAGATTTCCTGGTTTTGGATTCTATTTATGTTTGTTCTTGGGCCTGACTTGTATATGCTTGAATGTGAATTTTGAACAAACCGTGGGCCTGATTTGAACTATGAATTTTCTGAATTCTCTTTTGATTCTAACCCAATAAGCCAAGATATTAATTCCTTGTTGATTCTCTTTTCATGTATTGCAAAATGTTGTTGATTACGCTAAGGAGCAATGAGACCTTAAAGAAGATAGCATGTCGGCCTTTAAGAACTTGAAAAGTGATGAGGATTCCAAGGCTTAGAGCTTAGAGGACTTCCACAAAATTTGCTTGAAGGATGAGCAAAGCTAATGGAAATTGAATGTTCTTCCAACTTTCATGGCTAAGATAAAGGATTTTCTTTTGTAGGACACTTTGAATTCTTGTAACATGATTTGAAACCTTAAACCATAATAGCTTGAATTCTTAAAATCTTGTAATATTGAGGAAAATGTAGCTCGAGAATCTTAGATTTTAGGAAACTTGAATGTTCTTGCAATTTGACGAGGTACTTGAAGCTTTAGGTCAATAAAAGTCTTGAATGGCTTGCAATGTACAAAGTTTGGCAATAACATGACATGACAAAGCAAATTGAAGTATAGTACTTGAACTCTTCTTGTACTATTGAGAAAAATGTACTTCAAAGTATTCTTGTAATGTTGAAAATTGTATGGTAAATATGATTGGAGGAAAGTGAGTTTTGAAATAACAAATGAAGCTTTTAAACTTGAAATAAATAGAAACTTACATAAGTGCAATTGAAATCCAAATTTGAGTTAATAAACAAACATGAACTTCCCTATTTGTACCAATTCCAAACCTTTTTTGTTTCCTAAATTAGAGTTCGAAAGTCTTGAGGTCCATTATGCAAACAATACCAAATTCAACCTCTCTTAAGTTCAAAGAAAATATTTGAATGAACACTCAAAGTAGTGATGCACTAGAGAACCTTGTAGTAAGAATGGGTGATTAAATGGTGTGGGCTTAACCAAGTTAATTTGAGATTCAAACTATACTTGATTTCAAGTTTGAACTTCAAAGCAAAGGATAATATTCTAATTGAAGCTAAAATACTTCCCAAGAATTAAGACCATATTCCTCATCAAGCTTCACAATGAATCAAATAATGGATTGAAATTCTCTTGTAAACATCAGTAAAGACACAATTCCTTCTTAAACAATGAAAGCCAAAATATCTTCCCTCCTCTTGAAATTTGAATTCAAATCCTTAATAAACAAACATCATGATAGCTTATCTCTGAGATCAAACCAAATAATTGAAACATGAACAAGTGAAATCTTGACATGATAATCTTACATGTTGCAAATGAATTAATGACTTCACCTAATAATTAATGATTAATGAGAATGCATGCAACTGAATCAAAAGCTATGATCAAGAATAAATTGAATGCGAATGAGGTGAATTTTGGGGTATGACAGCTGTCCCTATTTAAATATCTTTAACTGGACTATTTGAAGAGACATATTTGAGTCGTCGGGGTGAAAAATACTTCAAATAATACATACCCAAATCTGCCTTGTGTGGTATGGTGGGAGAACTGACTTGAAGGTTTTGCGTTTTATCGTATATGTCGCGGTTAGCAAGAGTCGCCACCGACTTTTCTTTTATCCAAAAAAGGAAAGGTGAAAAAGCACAGGAAAGACCTTTGAGATTGTTTCTTGAGTTCGGGGGGGGGGGGGAGATTACGAAAAGGAAAGGTATTAACACCCTTTTCATCCATGGTTTTCCATGGGCTCTTAGTTACTTGCTAAATCACTTTCTTTTGTTTCAAATTATGTTTTGTGTAGTTTTTGAAAGTATTTTGTAAAGAGGCCATTGTTTAGGCAATCTTTGTAATGATTATCGTTCGTAAGAATGTATACAAATATGTTTGTCTTTTTGAAAATGTTTTCAATGTTTGTAAGATGTTTGGAAGTGTGTGTGTTTGTTTTTGAAAATAGAAAGGATAGTTGTTTTGAAATGGGGCAAGTAACTAGAAGTAATCTACCTACTCAAATGTCTTTCTTGTTCATTTTATTTCCCTTTGATATTGTTGTCTTACCATTGATTTGGTAAGCAACCCTATCTTTGGATGTAAACGGGACGGGCGTGGGTCATCGTATAACCATGATTAGAAATGTTGCAAAGTATCTTAGCATTTTTGAGGGACTAGGATAATTTTGTAAGGCAACTTTGAATAGCGTCATCGAGGGACTATGATCTTATATTTGTTTGTTTTGCTAAGATACTTCGCATGCGTAATATGGCCATTTTTGTGTAAGGTAACCAAGTGGGGTAACCCTAGGGAGTGCTTGTGTGCAAGTGTGTTATTTTCATGCTTGATTTTGTCTTGGATTAGGATTTTCTATTTGATTGGTTTTATCTTGCCATACAAACCCTAATTACTAACATGTTATGTAAAAGCGATAAATTGCAAAATTTAAAGATTACTACGCTATTACAACACTTTGTGTGGGGGGGGGGGGGGGGGGGGGTATACAATTTATGAATAGGGATTTGCAATAATATAAATCTAATTAAACTATTACAACCAAATTGAATTTGTATAAATATTGGAATAAATAATGTACAATATAAATTAAATATGCAAAGATATGTATATACAAGAAAATATTTTGTTTTGTTTTTTATATGAAAAATAGTTTTAATCTAAGCCCAATAAATAAACCAAAATTGAACTTAAATTAGGTAAGAATGAAAAATTATTTTTAGAAAAGATTTTTGACTAACCCTAATTTTAATTTGTTAAAAGAAAATAAATTTCTCTAAGTATTTTTTATATTTTTGGTCTTAAAAATAATAAATAGTATTTATGAAGTATTTTGGTCCTTTTATATGTTAAAATAAATATTTATAAGTGTGAGAAAAAGAATAAATAATTAACCTAATTCTATTTTTTATTTACAAGTTTATTAAGAAAAAATAGTTAATACATAACTAAAAAAAAATATTTTTTTATGAGAAAATAAAATAAATAAAATAAAATATTTATCATTTTTATATTTTTTATGATCTTTAATATTTAAGAAAAATATATTTAATGAAATAAAAACAAAATAAAATAAATAAATGAAAATAGTTGGGATAGGGGTGTTGCAAGAAAAGGAGGCAAGAGGTTAGCAAAAAATATAGGGCCCAATATGCTGAGCCCACGCTGCAAACAATCAAAAAAAGATGAAAAATGTGGAAAAATGAAAAAAGGCAGCGCCAAGGCTCGAACCTGTGACCTTAGGCATTTCTGTGCGTTGCCTTACCACTGGGGTGACTGAACATCCGTTAGTTCAAATGAAAACAAAAATACATAACATGAATCACTTCCTTGCCCTGTACTTCGTCTTCTTCCTCTAGCCATCCGGACCACCTGTATCTCTCTCATTTCTCCATGAAAATGGAAACTCCAAACATGAAAATGATAACATTTCTTCCCATGATTTCAACCATATAACTCATGTAAACTAAGAGTCAAAGATCAAAGCTAATTTTACTGGCCCTAATTTAAAACCTAATTTTTACAGAAATTTCAAATCCAAAATTCTCTATACACAATGAATATAAATGAAATCTATGAACATGGTTGGATTTAGTGCAAGGATATCTACATTTTATTTTCACAAATCGAGACCAAAGGATGCCTGTATGAAGAGATAGAAGTTAGAGTTTTTACCTCTTTCAGTTGAGATCGTGAATGGATTTTGAGCAAGTTTTGAGAAGGCCTGAGAATCTGTTTAGCTTTCCTGGACCTTTCTGAGTGTGTTCCAATCCTTACTTTGCCTTGAAAGTTCCTGAATCTCCCTACTCAAGTCAACCTACAAGCTTGAAATGCAAAAAAGGAAGATGGAGAAGGAGGAGTTACAGTTAGGGATAATGGTCTAGAACACTTAGATATGATGTATGTTAAGTGTTTAAGTGGTTAAAACTTAAAATGCACGAGTGGTTTTTGAGATTGCTATGCAAGATGCAAAATTACAAGTTATGGCAGGTTTTCAGTGGTAGAGAGTTTGGGAGAGTTTGAGCTTTAGAAATCGTG